CCCTTACAACCTCAGCCCCGGTCACCACCAGCCAGCCTACCCTGACATTCAGTAGCTCTACCACCCCAACATTCAACATTCCCTTTGGCTCAAGCACCAAGGCCCCTCTCCCATCATATCCGGGAGCCAACCCCCAGCCTTTTGGGGCCACTGATGGGCAGCAACAGGGAGCTACCAAGCCAACGCTTGCCCCCAGCTTTGGCAACTCTTTCACTTTTGGAAACTCTGCAGCCCCAGCCCCAACTGCAACTCCAGCACCAACCCCAACCCAGCCAGCCTTTGGCAACACTGCGCAGTCAGCTTTTGGTGGTTTGAAACCCACAGCCTCTGCCTTTGGCACCCCTGCCAGCACCCAGCCAGCCTTTGGCAGCACCACAGCTGCCTTCTCCTTTGGTGCAGCCACCACTTCTGGCTTTGGAGCTACAACCCAGACCACCAGCAGCGGGACCAGTAGTTCAGTGTTTGGCAGCACAGCACCATCGCCCTTCACATTTGGGGGCTCAGCAGCCCCAGCTGGCAGCGGGGGTTTTGGGATCAATGTGGCTACCCCAGGCACAAGCTCTACCTCTGGAGCGTTCAACTTTGGAGGAGGACAGAGTGGGACCACTGGCAACACAGCCCCCTTTGGGGGAGGCTTGAGTCAGAACACATTGGGCGCACCCAGCCAGAGCACACCCTTTGCCTTCAATGTGGCCAGCACGCCTGAGAGCAAGCCTGTGTTTGGAGGTGAGACTAGGAGTTGATTTGGTCCACTGTGCCAGGCACTGTTTTAAGTGCCAGCATAGTCTCCACTCTTATGGAGCTTTATGTTATGGTTGTGAAAAGACAGGCTTAAATACATAAATGTCAGATAACAATGTCTTGATAAAATACGTAATTACTGACTGTAGAGGAGCTAATTGGGTAATCAAGGAAGGCCTTTCTGACTAGATAAATTTAAGCCAAGACTATTTGTTACAGAAAGTGGTTGCAAGTGCAGGTGGGTAGGTGTGTGTGAGAGCTTTGCAGGCACAGAGAGAGCACAAAGGCCCAAAGGCAGAAACAAGCCTGGTATGCACAGATAAAAGCAAGGTGTGGCTAGAAGTTTAGAAGTGTAGATGGTATGAAAAGTGGTTGAGAGGTAGGTAGAATTGAAGATCATCCATGGCCAGGGTTTAAATGTTTGGATTTTAAGTACTAAGGGAAATCACTGTAGAATTTCAAGCAGAAGAATGAAGTGATTTTACTTGCCATATGAAAGATGAATTAGAAGTTTTGATCCTGATAGTTTCTATTTTCTTCATTAAATAGAGATCTTGGGGAGTGGATTACAGTGAAATGTGTACAGAGGAGAGCCTCTTAAATAGTCATTTTGGAGAGTGGAAAGGAAGGTAATGAGAAAGTAATACAACTAACTGCCGTGCAGTTTGAGGGCTGGAAAATTGTGGTTATGAATTTAAAGTGAGACCAGTTAGCACTGTTTTTCCCTAGCAACTTTCAGTCATTGAGGTATAGATCTAAAATAAGTAGATAGCTGGTAAAACCCAACCTGTTTAAACTCAAGCAAATATAGCAGGAGGGGCAGTGAACTTGGAGGTCTTAATGAGATTAAGGAAATGCAGGACTAGAAACAGCTGGGAAAAGAGTACAGTAGTTGCAGTTAAGATAGGGGAGCTAGAACAGTTCCTGGTGGTGATAGGTGTAGGTGGTGGAGGTTGGATAGAGGAATAGATTGGGGTAGCAAGGTCTGGGCCTCAGGGATCAAGAAAGATACTTATACCACATTGGGCTGAGACAAGTACATGAGAGAGAATGCAGCCTTCCCTGAAAGGGGCTGTAGAGAAAGCAACGTCACTACTGAGCATCAGGATTCAGTGAGGGAGGGCAAGGGAGTTTGCTGATGACTGACCTCATGGGCAGATTAGGCAACCTACAGGGTGGATTGGAGTGGTGGTGAGTTTGGTGGAAGGCTCTGGTTTCTGGAGGGGAGGGTATAGCTGGTAAAACCCAACCTGTTTAACAGGGAGAAGAGGAATACCATGATTAGTCCTGATAGGAGGGAGGTAACCTAGTCCTTTTGGTGGCTGAACCAGAGCTAAGATGTCCTGTGGGGAATGCCCATACAGAGAGATCTCTGCAAGGTTCATTACCATCTGCTTTGATACCCTCTGCTCATTGGCCTGGTCTCTACAGTTCTCTGCTTTTTCTTCATTCTAGGCACCTCCACACCCACCTTTGGTCAGAACACCCCTGCCCCTGGAGTGGGCACATCAGGAAGCAGCCTCTCCTTTGGGGCATCCTCAACACCCACCCAAGGCTTTGTTGGCGTCGGACCTTTCGGTAAGCTTGGCAAGTCTCTCTGTTGCCAGCATGGCCTGCTTATTCTTCTCTGAAAAGGGAGTAGGGTGGGGTGGGCTGGTAGCTTCCTGGCTCTCTGAGGCCTTCACCGGAAAGTCAGGCTGAAAGCATGAGAAAGATGTGGCCAGATTGAGAGTCCAGCACAACCAAGGTTTGGAGTTGGCGGCAGACAGCAGAGGAGCCTTTTGGGGCTGAATTTCCTGGATCCCTGGAAAGCCAGGTAAAATTGTCTTCTGGGCCTCTCCCAGACTATCTGTGATTCGGGGTTTTGCCTTTTCAATAGGCCCCTCTCCCAGCGCAATTGATACAGCTTTGGAAGCCCCCCCTCTTCAAGCACCCACAGTCCTGTTGGCCTAACTTTCCAGAGATTGGGGCAACCAAAGAAATGCTTTCAGGTAGCAGCTGCCCTGATGAGATTTTGTTGAATCTTTCCAGGATCGGCGGCCCCTTCATTTTCCATTGGTGCAGGATCCAAGACCCCAGGGGCTCGACAGCGACTGCAGGCCCGAAGGCAGCACACCCGCAAGAAATAGTGTTTGTCCCTTGCCTCCATTCCACCCACCCCTTGCCCAAATCTGGACCTTGGTACCTGCTAGGAAGAGCCTCTAACCCATCTAGTTCCATAAAGCAAACCTGGCTTCAGCCACCAGGGAGGTAATAGCAGCCCTGGGGGCCATTTCCCTCTCTGAGGAAGCGGAAGCCTCAGGCCTCTTGGTGGAGGGGGAGGATGTGGCAGGGCAGAAGCCTGATACCTTTACTTGAACAGTTCCACTGGTGAGGCTGGAGAGAACTAAAGAAACATCTGTACATACTGTCCACTTACTTCCCTCACTTGTTTAGTATATAAGCTTAGTCAGGCAGCCTTCCTTCCCACCTTTTCCCCAGCGAGCCATCTTTGCTGGAGGGTAGTAGGTAGAGCCCTGCCCACCTCTCTCTCTGGTATGCATTTAGTGGGATTGGGGGAAATGGATTATCCCTAAAGCTTTACCTTGCTTGGCTTGGCTATAAAAAGTGGTTCTCTGGTCCCTTTAGGGGACTGTTTCCCCATTTCTTGCTTTGTCCCTCAACTGGTTCCTTGCAGGATCTATTGCTTTTTAAATGATCTTGAATCAAGCTTTGCCTTGAAGACCCCAGTGGATGCTGCTCCTGCTATTTCACTTCCTCTTGCCAAGTCTGAGTCAGTGTTTTGTCCCTAATCCTATCTGGCAGTTCGGCCCCTAAAAGCTTGGTGGCTCAAGACTGTTAGCCTGGCAGATCCAGGGGTGATTCCCTCACTCCAGGGAGGAAAGCTCTTGGAGCAGACAGGATGCCCACCGCTGCTTTCAGCTGCCTCCTCACACACTATCCCTGCTGGCCTCATTGGGCACGTCTGCCTCTCTGGCACTGTATGTTTAAAGCCTTGTCCTGTGTTACTTTGTCTGATGCTCATGTCTATTTCTCTTTGAATCGAGTTTGGAGGAAGAATTGAATTGTATGAGTGGCGGCATGTTGGTAGTGCCGGACTTATCTGTTTCAAGTTTCTGGGACTTAGCTAATTGAATGTGGAAAGTAGCACCACTTTACGGCTACAAGTGCCAACTCCTGAATTTTCAAATGGTGTTTTGACTTTAAGGGCTGGCAGCCCAGGAGGATAGGGCCAAGGGGAAGCAAAGACCTCGTCTCTTCCCTCTGCTGTTTCTCTCTCCTACCTACCTGACCTCACAGGAGGCTAGAACACCCCTAGTATATGTTAGAAAACCTAAATTAATGAGCCACACTTTCAAATTCTTAGTCGCCACCCCCCTCTCCCCTCAACCCTTCTTTTCTTTGTTTCAAAGCCACATACCCCAGGCCTAAGAGCCTTGCTGCCATGCCCATCCTCTTTGGGAGAAGTATGAATGCGTGTGTCTAAATTAAAAGAAAAAATATTTAAACATTTTTTAACAAAATAAAAATTTATTTTTGTATTTAAGCTAAATTGCCTTTTAAATTCCTTCAAGCTTGGTTCATTGAGGTGGTTAAGTATAAATGCTGTTGATTAGGAATTAGCTGTATAGTTAAGTTATGCCTGTGTGAAGAAGAGGCTCTAGTGCTATCCCAGGCAGCTTTCCTGGGGTGACTAGAGCTCCTTCTGGACACATTATGTAAAATGTAATTCTTTTTTTTTTTATAAATAATGTGATGTAGATGTAACTAGTCCCCCTCACCCTTTTGTGACTGAGGTTGAAAGTTTTGTGGCAGGGGACTGACTGCTCCCCACCCCCTAGAAGAGCTCTGTTAATACTTAACTGTCTGTGGAGCTGAGGAGGGAGCCTGAACCTCAAGTCTCAAATACCTACTAGAATTGGAGGGGTGTGGTGGGGCACGGGCCTAGAAATCAAGCTTCTACCTATACCTTAAGTAAGGTAGACCCTCTTAGTTTTAGTACTCTAAGCTAGTTTACCTCAGTTCCACAGGCAGGACAGTTGGTCCAGGAACCCCCTGAAGAGGGTATCCTGGCACAGCCTGAGTGTGAGTGTGTGTGTGTGTATGTGTACATGTACGTGCACTGGACAGGAACGGGAGGCTGGGACTTTCCATTACAAATAAAGACTTAATTCCTGTGAGTCTAGTTGGAATTTTTAGTATGAATGTGAGATTTTTCTCCTTGCTTATGTCATTAAGAATAAAAAAAAACTGTGATCTATCGTAGACCATGTCCTGCCTTTTATTTTTGTGGGTAGCACTTCTCGCAACAGCAAGAACATGGCTCTGGGAAGGTACGAAAAGGACGAGGCAATCCGCTCTGTCTTCCCAGCTGGAGAAACAGGGCTATCAATTTCCTTCCTATAGCAACAAAAAGAACAGAACCTTTCAAAAAACTAAACTGATGCCTGGGGCTGGGGGCCCAAAGCTAAGCCGAAGGGAGAACCAGTGTCATCCCTTCCTCCACCCAAGAAGTCAAAGTTTTGAGCACCTGCTTTGTGCAAGGTAGCATGCTAGGAGCAGCTGCTGCATTTCGCCGCCGCCTCTTTTTCTTCGGAGCTGGGCTAGGGCTGGACCTAAGTTCTGGTGCTGATACTTCGGCCTGTGAGACTGAGCTAGAAGAAAAGTATAAGTTAGATGTGTCCCAATCTTCTATCATCTTCCCAGCAGGCCCCCTGCTCACCTTGGCACCTCTACCCGTTCAAGTACAGCAATGAAGAAGCCACCAGTGAGTGTGGTCTCAGGGGAGGCCCGGAGACAGTGTTCTGCCCCTGGAAAAGTGTTAAGGCCTCGGTGGGGCCAGGAGGGTAGGACAGGAGCTAACCTGTGGAGAAGAGCACACAGACTTCTAGGTAAAAGAGAGCAGCCCTCTCCCCTCCCCAAGACCCTAGTGGAAAGCCAACTACCTAAAGGTTCCCGAGCTCTGCTGTAGGGCCTCCTGTACCACATCTTCATTCTCCTCTTGACAAAGGGAACACGTGGAGTAGACCAGGCGCTGCAGGGAGGGGAAAGTGAGCGCATGGCACAGAGCTCGCTGCTGGAACCCTGCCAGGGCACGCAAACGTTCCTTGCTAGGTAAACCTGTCCCAGGCTCCTCCAGCTGTCTAGTCAACATACCTAGGGAAAAGAGTGTTTTAATTAAATTGCCTTGTTTCATTCTGAAATCCCCACTTTATGAGAACATTTGCCGAGGGTCACAAGACAATTCGAGTCAGAACTAAATAAAGCCAAGACCTAAATGAACTGCTACCACTTCCACTCTAAGGCTGCTCTTGATCTGTTGGTCCCTAGGCTATGAATTCTCCCCATCTCACCAGAGCCACTACAGGAAGGATCCAGCAAAATGTACTGGACCTGACGATAACGCTGGTCTGAGGGTGAAACTGCCAGGAAGTCCTCTTCGGCTAGCTGGCAGCACGAGACTCCAGCCCGGGCCAGCAGAGTAGCCATAGATGCCAGCCGCTTGGCATCCAGGTCAAAGGCAAAGATCTTCCTACAGACAAGGCCAGAGTTGAGGTTAACTGAGTTTATACACCATCTAATGGACATTAAGTTGGGACATGCAGAAGATAACATTTACACAGCCTGAAAGGACTAAGGAATTCACTTCTCACACCTGCAACCCCCTGGGAAGCTTATTTTGGGGCTATACCAGGAACTGCTCTAAGTCCAGAGGGAAATATTTAAAGGAAAATCTTCCTTTCAGCCTTCAGACCTATTGGGAAAACGAGTTCCTTATTTCTCACCAGCTAAAGGATCCGACCCCATTCCCTCCCTTTGTCTGACCATGGCACTCACCCTTGGTTCTTCAGAAGAGCAGCCAAGTGACTGGTCTTATTGCCCGGGGCAGCACATGCATCAATGACATGGGACCCTGGGGGCGGGGCCAGCAGCATGGCTGGGAGACAGCTAGCCTGGCAGGGCAAAGCACAACTGCTGGGTGAACAGACTCCAAGCTGGTCACTTCTACACATTCTTTCCTTTTCCACCCACCTTCCCTACCTTGTCTTGTAAGATGAGGTGACCTGCTTGGTACAGTGGATGTTCATGCAGATCTGTTTGGGCAGGAAACACAAGCAGCTCTGGCAACAAGGGATCCAGAAGAAAACACTTCCCTTTGAGGGCCCTTAGGTCCTCAAGGCTGTCAGGGAACAAGAACCATTCATTCAACATTTTTTTAATTGTCCCATGCAAGGTACCAGGATGGGCATTTTACATGTTACCTAACATGTTAACTTCATTCATGCAATAAATGTTTAAGGCTGAACTAAACAGGATAATAAGACAGAGTCTGGGTTCTCAGACCAGACTCTAGTTTCAGGATCCCACCTCAGCCATTTACCAGCAGTGGAAGCAGGAGCAAGTGCCCTTATCTCAGGCTGTTTGCACTTTTATAAAATAGTAGCTGTGAAAATTAAATAAGTTAATGCATGCGAAATACTAGGTGTACTAGTTAATAATGCAGATTTTTTTTCAATAGATGGAGTTACACATATGTTGATATATATGCGATTTGATATGTATGCTATTTTGTTGTATTGACAACAAGCTTCAAACCTTCATATGTCAAATTTGCTGAAGGTGTTAACATCATAGATATTTTTACACTTAAAAGTGTCGAATTTCATGCCAAAAAAAAGCATTTGCGGGAAGTTTTAATCCATTACTTTATTTTGAAGAAAAGTGCTGCTGAAAGTTTCATATACTTCGGGAAGCTTATGGTGAACATGCTCCATCTCAAGATACTTGTGAACGCTGGTTTAAACGCTTTAAAAGTGATGATTTCGATGTGAAAGACAAAGAACGTCCAGGTCAACGGAAAAAGTTTGAAGACCAACAATTACAAGCATTATTGGATGAAGATGCATGTCAAACTCAAAAACAAATTGCAGAAAGATTAAATGTTGCTTAGCAAACAATTTCTGATTGTTTACAAGCAATGAGAAAGATTTTAAAGGAAGGAAAATGGGTGCCACATCAACTGAACAAAAGACAAATGGAAAACCGAAAAGTCATCAGTAAAGTGTTGCTTCAACGGCACGAAAGAAAGTCTTTTTTGCATCAAATTGTGACTGGCAATGAAAAGTGGATTTATTTTGAGA